ATTTAGGATCTCGTCCCACACAGAACGTATCCACAGAGACATCCATACAATCTCCATAGTTCCATCAAGAGTTCCATGCAGCATCTATCTCCATGTCGAAACTATTAGAGGTCAATTAGACGTCCATTAGAGATCCATACTAATTTTATGATAGATGATCCACGATAGATATCTATTAGACATCTATTATAGATAGTATATGGTCACTGAGATGAACATTGTTTCTCATAAGAAGAAAATGCCACAGACTCCTATAAGAGATCGTATGTAAATTAAGTAAGTTTTTTCGGGCTTGCTTTCCGGGTCTCTGAAAGAATTGTAACTGTCAGAATATGCTGTCTATCATCTTGTATCCTGTTGACAAAGATAATCCGATTTCCTTTAACGTCTTCTTGTATCTTGCTGACAATGGTCCATATAACTTCTGTTAGAGCTTTATATAAAATATCTAATAATTATTATTGATCTATATAAATCTTAGTCATCTCTATCAAAACTCTATAAAATATCTATAATTAATCCATATGACATCAAATAGATATCTATGAATACATCTAATAGAGATTTTACGTACATGTATAAAATGCGGAATGCATTTTCTGGATGTCTAATGGATGTCCATTGAAAATTTCAAATTTCTATGATTCGAAACCTCCATAGATGTCTAATGGACGTTTAATAGAGGTTTTTTTCTGTGTGATGCAACGTATCGTTTCGTTTACACGTTATTTTACATCAAAATTTTATCTTTGTTTATGTCGAAGAATTTTCTTTTCTCAAATTTTTCCGAAACATTAATCCTTGCAAAAAATTAATTTATAAATACGACAGTTTCACATGAAATTTATATGAATACGTTGTTTCCTATCGTCAAGAATTTATAATAAGTATAATAACATTAATAATATCATGGGGTGCGTTCGGGGAGACGCATTCGTGCTACAAACACTGTTCGCAGAACTGCAAATGGCGCTAACAAACATGATCATGACGTCACTAATGTAGGTAGGTGTTACGTCACAACTGCGCGCTATCAACGGTATTCCTTCCAAGGTAGTGTATTGGTAGCGCTAGCGTTTTTTTAGCGTTTTAGATTCATGAACGACTGTTACAAGCGTAACGTTGCTAGCATTTAACATTCATCAAGGTTAGATTAATGTTTGAAGGATTTTTGTTTTCGAGTGGAGTAAATGTACGTAGATAACGTGTGAATTTCAAATTTTATCGTAGTGAATGCAATCTCAATTTCAATTTCTGCAATTGATAGCTTGCCACTAGGTTGGAGTGAAGGTAATTTTTGCTTGTGCATCATCTTTAACTTTTCAAAGTTTCTGCAGAGTTCAACTTGTATATTTGATTTCATTACAAATGTGAAAGTCAGAGGTATTTTATTACTGGCGATTTTTAATTCCCGTGCCCACGGAAAAAAGTTACTATTACAATATAACGCGGCAGGGTATTCCGTTGCAGATCCTTATTAGATGTAGATACGCTTCTTCTCAAATTAATGACTGATGTTCAAGGATTTTTTTTTTTATTTGATTAATTTACTCTACAGTGATTTGAAAAATTAATAATTACACTACAGTGTAATTATTAATTTTTTAATCTAGTTTACGTTGTTCACTTCGACTTAGCGGCAAGCCACCATAGAAATTGTAACTGAGATTGCGTTCTGTTATTCACTACGAAATAATTAAAAATTTACGTTACATATATTTTATAAAACCCTAAAAATTTAAATTACAAAGAAAAGTTTGGTCGATGATTAAAAACAGAATTCCTTACATTAACTTAACCTCGACAAATATTAAATCTCTTTGGATAAACGCTATCAACGCTACGCTAGGATCGTTCATGAAGTTTTCTAACGCTATCGCGCTATTCGGCTTCACGAACAGTGTTGGTAGCATTTGCGTCCATAGCGTCTCCCCAAATGCACACCCATAAATACGCATTGCTATGCGATTCTATTTCTACCCTCACTCCCCACCTCCCTCAAAGATTCAGAGATATCAATCAAGTGACCTCATGTTTGATCATTAGATCCTTGTTTAACGTTCAACAGTGAACAGCAAGAATAAAATGACCTGGAAAAGCACTCGAGTGATATTTTCGAACGTAACTTCACATGCGTTACTCACTCTAGTGAATATATATGGAAGGAATTTTGTGCACTATTTCAAGTTTCGTTATTCCAGTGTATAAGAGTTTAATATTGAATTATGTGTATATATATATATATATATATATATA